ACCCTCAATTACATAAATGAACTATAATGTCCTGCACCCACTAGTAAAAAAAAAAATATATCAAAAATGTTATCTGGTGTCTGAATAATTTTTGGTTTGACTGTATATTTGTCATAATTTTTATAGTTAAACATAATAAAAATATTGATAATAAACATCCTGAAATATCTCTCTACAGCAGCAATATGAGATGTTTCCATATGAGATTAAATGCCATATTGCTGTTAAAATTGCCATACATGACAAAATAATCACAATATCATTTTGCACAGCCCTATATATATATATAAATCATTTTTAAAAATATAAGAATTACCAACCGCCCCCGCCCTTTTTTCACCGTAAAAAAACCCCGGAAACTATCGAATATGCAAATGTGTCGTTAAATTATTGAAATAAATCTCAGGTGGTACTTCCAAGTAAATCTTTTATGGGTTTGGCCTACAAAAAGTTTGACATTTATTAGAGCACACACCTTCACCCTCACTTTCACATCAGTCACAGGAAGTCCAGCTTCAGCGGGATGCAGAAGAGCAGAGGAGGATGTTTGAGGAGCTGCAGGGCATCCAGAACATCCTCAGCACCACCAAACAAGAGCTGCTGTCCCAGAGGAGAAACAACACACAACTGCAAAACAGCATCACTGACACCGAGCAGGAAAACCTCAGGGTACCTGATGCAGATCTGACCTTCTATATAGGGTGTTGAACGGACACTGGTGTTGCTGAGGGAATCCGGAATGTTCTTTAGTCAATAGACTGCAATATTAGGTTGTATATACTAATATTAACATTTAGTCATGTACTAATTCAAAATGATTTTTGTTTGCTGTACGAGCAGCTCCAACAAAACATTGAAGACTTGAGGAACAGACTAACCAGCTATCAACAGGAGACCGACTCTCTGAGGACAGAACTTCAGCTAGCTCTAGTCAGAGTGGACGCTGAGAGAAGGTACAGAGGTCCAGGGTTATTACAGTTAATGAAAACTAAAACCATAAAAAAAAAAA